CCTCTGCATGGTAAGACGTCTGGGCACGCCGACATCCAATCGCTGCAGGAAGGTGCCGAAATCGCCGGCAAAGTTGTTCTACTGAAACGTGGAGGCTGCGGATTCTTGGAGAAAACAAAATGGGCTCAGAGACGCGGAGGAGTTGCCCTGATCGTGGGCGACGACGTTCGAGGCGGAAGTCTGATAGTAATGAACGCGCGCGGGGATACGTCCGATATTACCATTCCCGCCCTCTTCACCTCTCATACAACATCGCATTTGCTTTCCTCACTTTTGCCCACAGGAAACTTTATTCATGACCTCTCGCCCGAGGATGCGGCCAAGTTGGACCTCATCAAAAGTGGTAAAGCGAGCAAGCAGGGCAAGAAGAAGGATAAATCTGGCAAAGCCAAGACTAGTGGAGATCGGACTGCGTTTGCCCAAGATACGACCAAACCTAATCCCAGTGCGAGCATAAGCAAAGCAGAGCTAACTAAACCCAAATCTCGACCTCATTCCGAGTTGACAGAAGATGTCGGATGGCTCCGTTCACTGCTCTACGCACTCGGCTTTGGCAGCCCTCGTCGCACTACTTCAAGAACAAACAGCTTGCGACCTCCGAGTAGCGGGGGTCTCGATTGGGTTCAAGTCGAGGATTGGGAAGACGACCACTCTAACCAAAAGCCGATAAGAACCAAATCATCAGGCGCATCCTACTCAAAACCAACACAAACACCGGGCGATTTTGTGATTGGCGAGCAAGACTGGCGAGATCCTGGGCTACTGCCACAACAGACTTCAACGCATGTGCGGCCACTGGAGAGCACAAAACCAAAAGAGGGATGGTTCAGCAACATTCTAGCCCACGACGAAGATTTTGTACCAGAGTCCGAGTTAGAGCATATGGAGGGAAACAGCAACCCCTCCTTATCCTCATCCTCATCCTTGGACGCGCATTCTACACAAGAAGAGGATGACCCTGAACAAGCCCAACTACACGACGGTCTCTGGGTCACCCTCGCCCCTACTAATATGTCCTCTAGTCCATTCTTCGACACTCTCCTCGTCTTGGTCGTTAGTCCGTTAGTTACATTGACTGTTGTATACGCTCTTCTCCTTCTCCGATCTCGCATCCGACGCCGACGGTGGAGGGCTCCCAAATCCGTCGTCGAGCGCCTTCCAGTGCGCACCTATCACACACTCAGCGACGCCAGTTCCTCTCCAACCACGACTCCGAACACATCTTCGCCCACCACCCCTCTTCTTCAACATTCTCATTCTCCACCTACGTCCTCTTTATCGCGGCCTCGGTCGCGGGCTACCTTGGAGGTGCCGGCATTGTCTTCCTCTGTCCAGCCAAGTAATCCACAGACGGAAGAAGAGAAACGGGAGGCGGGATTGGCACAATGGCGGCGCCGTTACGGCGGTCGACAAAAGGAATGTGTTGTATGTCTCGAGGAGTATGTCGATGGCATCAGCAAGGTTATGAGCTTACCGTGTGGTCACGAGTTCCACGCGGATTGCATGTGAGGAAATTTCGCCAATGTCTCTAATATCATATACTAACAGACATCATCTAGAACTCCTTGGCTTGTCACCCGCCGGCGCACATGTCCCATCTGCAAAGGTGATGTCGTACGCTCCCTGTCACAGTCATACCGCGACCGCCGCCTGCATTCTCCCTCACCAGCGCACCCTTCTCCGTTCCTCGACGATCCTGATAATCTCCAAGTTCAGGCTGCACAGACGCGGAATGACTCACCTTCCGCCTCGCAACCTGTACCTATATCATCTTCCTCAATGGCCGACTATAGTGACGATCTCGACGCAGATATCGAGGCTAATTGGCGCAATGACACCGAGGACGACGAACTGCAGGGGAGGGACATCCCCAGAGACAGTACTCTCGATTTGAGCAGTTCTGTGAGGGATCTGAGCTCAACAGTCTCAACAACAATATGGCGAGGCTTCGAAGCTGTTCGTAGTGCGGCAGGTCTTCAACGGCGGCCGAGTCAAGATCTCGATCGTGATAGGTGAGAAACTAGTTATTATTATTGAATTGGTTGATATTTTTGGTTTGGGGGATAATGGGGACAGCCGTGGGCTATGATTCATGAGCATGGCGTTTTACTTTCTTTCTGGTGTATATCCTGGCTGTGCATTGGAAATTGGGAATGGGAGAGGTTTTTATCCTTCCTCGTCATGGTTGTGGATGACAACACATGATCAAATCCACTCAATTACTGGTGGGAGAACTATTGATTCTCTTATAGTCACATCTTCGTTGTTCATCCTCCTGCAACGCTTTCCAATCAACAATCTCACTACTCTACCTTTTCAATGCTCTCTCTCTCTCCATCCAGCTCTTCCAATAACACAGTCCCGTACAATCCCAGCCCCCTTGCCCGGGAACACAATCGTCCCTCGGATCATCTAGACACACCTGTGCCTCGTTCTCGCACGTGTACCCCGCAAACCCGCCACAAATCTTCTCCTCGACGCAGATGCCGTAGCAGTCATCTTCGGGGCCGCAGCTACTAGGCTTGGACGGGTCACGTACGCAAATGTAGTGGTCGGAGTCGGGGCACGGTCTGTAGTCGTCGCGACCGCCGCCGCAGATGTCGTGCGTTGGGCTGGGTGGAGTGGATGTGGTGGTGGTTGGTTTGGTTGGGGGAGAGGTGGGCTTTTTGGTAGACTTTGGGGCTGGGCTGACGAGAGTGGGTGTGAGGGTTTTGGAGGGTTCGTCGCAGACCTGATTGATTCCATCCCCCATGTCAGCGAAATCCACACGGTCTTCGTATACGCATTTTGGCGGCGAGGGAGTCGGCGTCATAGGGATGTTGGCGTATAGCGTGAGGAGGGAACGAGAACTCGAGGCGTACCACGGCGTCTGTGCTGGCACACTTGACTAGTAGACAGTCGGAGCATTTCATGCCAGGTAGGGCCACGGCGAGGGCGCTGCAGATCAAGGAGAGGAACAAGAGCGACTTCATAGCTGGTGTCGTGGCAGGGTTGAGACTTGGAATTGGAATTGGAATCGGGGTCACGAATATGAGACGAGTGGGTAATCAGTGTGTTGGGCCAATTCGGTGGAAGAAGGACACAGGACAGGTACCCACCCAACCTATCAATGCTCTACCACTAATTACTTTACTTTATATCCGCTGCCAAGATAGACATAGTGAAGTTCCATATTTATAGTGCCCTCTCTAGACGCGACGTAAACGTAAACGTAGACGAGGAACCCGACTCAAGCTGTACATATTACGGGGTTAAATGTTTAAACTTAAACCCCCCCCTCCCCCCCAATTCGAATCGCTAGCAACCGCCGGTGGTTGCACAGATTGAATCCATCCCACGGAATGGGGAATCATCACGTGCGTGTATCACGAGTACGAAGAAGAAGAAAAAAAAGGGGGAATAAGAGAGAGACGTCATGTTTCCTCATACATATTCTTTCCGCTTTGATTCATCACTCCTTGCTGTTGCTTTGATTACTTCCGGTTTAGCTGGATTGGGGTTGCACAACTTGGAAGTGGAGAAGGAATGCTGATAGGTGAGAGGAGAGAAAAAAAACATATTTCGTTGTTGTACACCACATGAGGAGAAGGGGGGGG